GATTAAACAATATACCTGTCAGGAAATTGTACACAATTGTTAACTGTCTAGGGTTAATAAAACGTCCGCCACAAAAACACCTTCCCTCACACACATTTACAAAAGCAAAGGAATCAGGAAATTATGGTATGTAAACTGCACTAATTACAGGATGTCACAAGACACGATTGTTACTGTGATAATTTAGGAATTCTAAGACCAATATCAGGCATGGTATTTTTACTTTGTTTCATGAATATACACAATTTATAAGCAAATAAATTCATATTTGTATTGTAAAGAAATAGCGTTTTGTTTGAATGTATATGTTATCAATTTTCTTTATTTTCAGATCATTAATGTTGAATGGGAATGCTTTTAGAAACCCTCGACCTGCTATTTTAGCTAAAGGAACATTGGCATTGCTGGAATATTTACGTAGTCGCATTGTATCATAGCATTGGAATTTCTGATAAGGGGGCTTTGCTTGGTGTAATGAAAGTGCTATTTAATATATAATAAGACATAAAAATAATAACACCATAAGCACATCCAAATTTTGCTTTAATATGATAAAGTTTTGATTTCTACGATTATTGTTTGCTATGATTATTGTTCAAATTTAACATATTTATGATTTTTTTCCTTTCCATAAAGAAATTGGTAAATACATAGGCAATATAATTGATTATTAAATTCATGCATATTTTGTTTGATGCAATATGGTGGACTATATATATTTTTTGATATATTTTTATACACTGTTTTCTGTGATTAGATTCTATGCATTAAATTATAAATTTTTACTTTTTGTGAAAGTTCTGTTTGATCTTGAAGGCATTACTACAATATAACATATTACTCATTATATATGTGCATGAATTATTTGTCACTGGACAATGCTACTTTTTACATGAACTTGAAATTAGTGTACACATAATTGTGTACTTCTTTTCACTTATCCAATGCAATATATATAAATGATGGACAAAATTATATCCTTGTGAATGTAAATGTGTATAAAATATAATGTGGTATGATTGCCAATGACACAACTATCCAAACAAGAGTTCAGATGATGTGGATTACAAGTCACCGTTCATCCTTCAACAAGGAGCAAAACCCATACTGAATAGCAAGGCCCTGACATTGACAACATATAAAACAATAAAAAAAAAACATTTTTGGTGGAGAACAAAATTTTTGTCCTTTTTCAGAAAGTTAATAACCTTGCGGTTTAGAATGATGATGAGTTCGCCTTTAATTACATGGCCATAGGGATCATACCTAAACTTCCATGTTTCACAGTCTCATGTTGAAGGTGCATTATTTTCTATTCTGATGTATAATTAAAAATTAAACTTCTAATGGTTTTTTACACGTACCATAATTATATACCCAAGTTTTCAGTTTCTTAATGAATTCTGAAATTTCAAGGCAACATTCTATAAAATCTCCCTGGTTTTCAAGTCAAAGCTGCATGAAATATGGTACCAAGTTTCATCTGGTTATGCCATATGAAGTGACCTGTAAATTTCTTTGATGTTATTCTACTTCCTATTTGACAAAAACTTGTACATCGTATCTTTAAAATGTCATTTGATTTTTTGTTGCAGCAACAAACAGAAATAGCTTCTTGATATATGGTACAAAACTTCACCTGTTTATGCAAAGTTAGTGTAACACATTTTCAGAAGCTATAACTTTTTGTTGCTGCCACAAAAAAAACAATTGACATTTCAAAGATACAATGTATAAGATTTTGGCAGAGATGGGAATATCATGCACTTCTGGTACAGCTGTTTATATATGTTACAAAGGCAAAAGACTGGCATATCATGCACTTCTGGTACAGCTGTTTATATATGCTACAAAAACAAAAGACTGGCATATCATGCACTTCTGGTACAGCTGTTTATATATGCTACAAAGACAAAAGACTGGCATATCATGCACTTCTGGTACAGCTGTTTATATATGCTACAAAGACAAAAGACTGGCATATCATGCACGTCTGGTACAGCTGTTTATATATGCTACAATGGCAAAAGAGTGGCATATCATGCACTTCTGGTACAGCTGTTTATATATGCTTCATAGGCAAACGACTGGCATATCATGCACTTCTGGTACGGCTGTTCATATATGCTACAAAGACAAAAAACTGGCATATCATGCACTTCTGGTACAGCTGTTTATATATGCTACAAAGACAAAAAACTGACATATCATGCACTTCTGGTACAGCTGTTTATATATTCTACAAAGGCAAAAGACTGGCATACCATGCACTTCTGGTACAGCTGTTTATATATGTTACAAAGTTAAAGACTGGCATATCATGCACTTCTGGTAAAGCTGTTTATATATGCTACAAAGACAAAAAACTGGCATATCATGCACTTCTGGTACAGCTGTTTATATATGCTACAAAGACAAAAAACTGGCATATCATGCACTTCTGGTACAGCTGTTTATATGTGCTACAAAGACAAAAAACTGGCATATCATGCACTTCTGGTTCAGCTGTTTATATATGCTACAAAGACAAAAGACTGGCATATCATGCACTTCTGGTACAGCTGTTTATATATGCTACAAAGTTAAAGACTGGCATATCATGCACTTCTGGTACAGCTGTTTATATATTTTACAAAGGCAAAAGACTGGCATACCATGCACTTCTGGTACAGCTGTTTATATATGCTACAAAGACAAAAGACCGGCATATCATGCACTTCTGGTGCAGCTGTTTATATATGTTACCAAGACAAAAGACTGGCATATCATGCACTTCTGGCACAGCTGTTTATATATGCTACAAAGACAAAAAACTGGCATATCATGCACTTCTGGTACAGCTGTTTATATGTGCTACAAAGACAAAAAACTGGCATATCATGCACTTCTGGTACAGCTGTTTATATATGCTACAAAGACAAAAGACTGGCATATCATGCACTTCTGGTACAGCTGTTTATATATGCTACAAAGTTAAAGACTGGCATATCATGCACTTCTGGTACAGCTGTTTATATATTTTACAAAGGCAAAAGACTGTCATACCATGCACTTCTAGTACAGCTGTTTATATATGCTACAAAGACAAAAGACTGACATATCATGCACTTCTGGTGCAGCTGTTTATATATGTTACAAAGACAAAAGACTGGCATATCATGCACTTCTGGCACAGCTGTTTATATATGCTACAAAGACACAAGACTGGCATATCATGCCCTTCTGGTGCAGCTGTTTATATATGATACAAAGGCAAAAGACTGGCATATCATGCACTCCGGGTACAGCTGTTTATATATGTTACAAAGACAAAAGACTGGCATATCATGCACTTCTGGTGCAGATGTTTATATATGCTACAAAGTTAAGACTGGCATATCATGCACTTCTGGTGCAGCTGTTTATATATGCTACAAAGTTAAAGACTGCCATATCATGCACTTCTGGTGCAGCTGTTTATATATACTACAAAGACAAAAGACTGGCATATCATGCACTCCTCGTACAGCTGTTTATATATGCTACAAAGACAAAAGACTGGCATATCATGCACTTCTGGTGCAGCTGTTTATATATGCTACAAAGTTAAAGACGTATATCATGCACTCCTGGTACAGCTGTTTACTTATGCTACAATAGCTCTAGACAGCAGTAGCATTCAATGTAACCCTTGTCTATCTGTCATGTTTTAAAGATTTAATTATATTTGACCTAATAATTGAAATTTAGGAATTATCTACATGGATCATGAATCCAAAGTTTATCTTTGGCATGATTTAGTTTTTTTCTTGTGTATTGACCATAAGCAGACATGAGGCTACAATTCTACTGCAAGTTGGCCATGACCTATAATATGCTATATGCAAATGATAGACCTCGTAAAAACAGGTAGTTTTTGGTGTTCCTAGGAACCACCTCTGTGGCTCTTATAAGCATGCTCACCTAGAGTGCAGGAGGTTATTGTCCATCTATATCTTTATAATTGTATTTGCTGCGACTCTGCAAAGAACTTGGCATTTAGGAGTAAGGGTAAGGGCTGGTTGGTCTTTCTAAAGACTGCTACCTTGTGAGTTTTCACATTGAAAATCTGATTCAGCTTGTCAGTCTGTTATAAAACAATGTATATTTATATATCATTAACATGTATTCATCAGAAAGTGCACAAATGGAATCGGCCATTAAAATTATGTGTGATGGGAAGGGAATAAAAAGCTTTGCTTTGAGATTAACTGTACATCTGACTTCCCATAAACTTTTATCCCAGTACGAAAATAAGGAACAGTGGTTTACAAAAATCCCTGGTCTTCATGCCAGTCAGTATTAAACTAAGATTGCAAAAGATATTGAAATCTCCTAAAAACCAACATTTTGTTACAATTTTAGTCTATCGATAAATTGCTGCTGTGACCTTTACCCTTAATCTAGTGACCTCAAAATCAATATAGGTCTTCTTCATCCCTTTGGGCATTATTTAATCATGTTGGGTAAAAGTTGAACATAGGTTAAACAAATAACATGGAGAAACCATTGTTTTGCTTAAATTTGAACCTATCAATTGCTGCTGTGACGTTGACCTTTGACCCCAAAATCAATATATGTGTCTTCCTCTTCCCATGAGGCATTATCCAAAACCTCTAATATATAGTGCACAACTACATTGCAACTGGTATCCAGGATATACTTAGAAAAATGTATTCTTTATGTAAACTGTTGACACAGAGATATGTCTCGCCTTTTTGTAATTTGTAAGTATTATGCAAATATTGAATCCAAATGACAATATTTATACATGTAAACTATACAAAACATTAAGAGTCAATAAACCATGACAGAGGGGGGTGGCCAAAGAATTTCCATGCAAATGAGATGTGCCAATGCTAATGCATCTACATACCAAATATCATTGACCTGTACCACAACTAATAAATATTACTGCTTTTCAAGGTTAAAGAATTCAAACATCCAAGTATATATTAAGATGATCTAAGTAACAAAGAAAATTCTAAAATATATTTTTATTTTCAGAAATATTGCATACAGTACAAAGAGATTCAAAACAATACAAATAAGTACACAACCCACTAACATAAAATGATACATTTATAAACCATAAACTTTTCTAATACTACATCTGACAAAGCAAAAGGAGTAATTCTATCCAATAAAAAAAAAATGTTGTAATATTTGAAGTAACTTAATTAAATAAGTCATGGTACTATGGTTTTAAATTTATGTAATTACACCACTTTTGATGATAATCTACCTTGAAAGAATGAAATTTATGACTCTGTGTTGAAGGCCTCTTTGTGACTTTGAGATGAAGAACAGCAATAAAAACACTGTTCTTTTGTTTGCTGTACATGTACTGATTTTGTGTCATGGATGTATACCCATATCCTTTGTTTTCTATTAAGAAAATGTTATAAAATTATGATCCTTTAGTACACACTGGAGAAACTTATCAACACCTGAAATTTTGACAAATCTGTTGAATCAAACATTTTTGTGAGGCCTACAAAAGTTATCCTATAACACTTGTTCAGCCATATAATCAAAAGGAAGAAATGTCCAAACTGTACCAATTTTCAAACAATATCAATGCTCTGACCTTTCACCGTCTGTTTGATACGGTTCACTTAGATTGATACACATTGTACGAAAGCAATTGAGTATGCCCTTTGTAAAACTATCACAAAATACAAACATGTTATACATCTGTTGCTGCTGATGGATATTTTCTGTATATACTGGTATACCCTAGTAATGATTTGACTTCATTGTACTTAATTAATAAATATGTATCCCAGGAATCCTTGTTTTTACTATATACATTTAAATAGATTCCGAACACTACAATTAAACCAGACCACACATACCTGAAAAAGATACAAAGAAGTTGGTTAGACATGGTTTACCTATGTTATAAAATTTCTCATTTACATATTTAAAGTTCATCAATGTGTGCCCGTGGTTTAATATTAGTATTATCACCCAAGCTGAACAGTGATTTTTTTTTGTATTTTGTATTAGAAAATCAGTGGAAAATTTTGTCAGGCAAGACCATCTGAATGAGTTTCCCCTACAAGACCAAATGTGGACCTATTGATGTCTTTTTTTCTATCATGTGGTTGCTGTCTTATATACCCCACAACATTTATTCATATGGGTGATTAGACATAATTTTTACAGTAGACTCCTACTTCACATATGTTTTCCTTGAAAGGATGACAGATACTTGATGCCAATAGGTAATGCTAGTCAGTTGGGTTAAATAAGCTTATGATATCTCCTTACCCTGATGGCAGAGCAGGAAGTGAGCATAAAAAGATTTCTTGAATAAGTTGTAAGAAACATTACATTATTATGATAATTTGCAAGTTCAGATAACTTCAATATTGACAGGAAAATCCAAGGAAGATCAATTTACAAATTCAACTCTAAACTTAATATGGAAAATTATTAATAATATAAGAATAAGGAGATGTGGTATGATTGCCAATGAGACAACTACCCACCAAAGTTCAAATGAAGTGGATGTATGCAATTATAGGCAACTGTACGGCCTTCAACAATGAGAAAAACCCATGTCGGCTATAAAATACTTACTGGACAGTAAATGGCTTTGCAAAGAACATAAATGACAAAATTATAGTAATAGCTTTCCTACAGGTGGTAACTGAAAATAAAAATCAATATCTATAACTTTGATTCATATAGTAAAATGTATACTTATCAAAGACTCAAGATGTTACATTTGAACATATTTTAACTACTCTTTCTGTTTTTCAGCAGCAGACTACATATACAAATTTTTAACAGTATAAAGGTTTAATTATAATTAGTCTTCAAACTTGTAAATCAATACTTCTAATATCAAATTTTAATACATGTATCTATAAAATCTATTCAGGAAATTACAAATTAGCTCTCGCCGCGATATAGCCTTTTTGCGCTAAGGTGGCGTAAAGCAAACACCAATCAATCAATCAATTTCACTTTACCAAGTCTTCCATAGAATTTCTTATTCAAAACAACATATAAAGGGATAAATATAACTATACCTGTAACAGCTATCAAAGCTCCAAAAGACTTAACTAATGTCAATACAATATTTACACCACAATATCCAGAAATTGAAAATATCACAGCATATCCATATGTCTCCACAGAATACTGAAAAGGAGAGATATATAATAATATCACACCATAAATATTATACAATTATAGCCTTTGTATGAGGTCGATACAAGGTTGTATCGAACTAAGAGAAGCATATGGACTGAGGACGAAGTCCGAGGTCGATATGCTTCTCTAGGTCGATATAACATCATATTGACCTCAACCAAAGGCTACAATTGTTATATTATTAATCAACAACTATTGCATGAACAATGTAAAATTGGGATTTCTAGAATGTATTTTAGTAGCATGCTGTATGCCCTGTGCAATATGCTGTTTTTGACCTACGAAAAGATAAACACAACAGTATTGGCATGCAAACTGAGCAAATACAAATGTACACGTGATCAAGTTTTAACGAATCACAAATCCTTAAAAATATTCGATTTATAATATATGTCTCAACAGGAAATGAAAAGAAGAGAAATGGAGGAAAACTATTGGAGTTGACACAAACTACGTGTCCTCCATAGCATTGAATGACAAAGAAGACCATGTTCCACACATGAAAAGCCTAACAAATAAAAGAACATGTTTCCAATGTCCCGCGTGTTGCACATATTTTATCTATCCAATGTACAAGGGCAATAACGAAATAGAACACTTTTTTTTTGGTAGCGCTAGCAAGGCCATTTTCCATAAATTTAATATTTCCAAGGGGCATAACTCTTTTAAAAAAAGTCGTTCAGCCACCATTATAGAACTTGTCCAAGATATTGCTGATATTAGCCTATAGAATAAGTTTTTAAACAAGAGGCTCTCAAGAGCCTGAATCACTCACCTGTATTTCAGAGGAGAAGATTTTTAAATGTTAGCAAACTTGATGAACAAATTGTGTAAAATTGTCTTTAAAGGGCAATATTTAGTTTTTGAGATATAAGCCAAAAACTGCATTTGACCCTTATGTTCTATTTTTAGCCATGGTGGCCATGTTTGTCGATGGATACAAACTTCGGATACATTTTATAAACAAGATACCCTAAGGAACATTTAGTTAAAGTTTGAAGGTAATTGGCCCAGTAGTTTCAGAGAAGATTTTTAAATGTTAACAAACTTGATGAACAAATTGTGTAAAATTGTCTTTTAAGGGCAATAACTCCTTAAGGGGTCAATTGACAATTATGGTCATATTAACTTTTTTGTAGATCTTACTTTGCTGAACATTATTGCTGCTTACAGTTTATATATATCTATAATAATATTCAAAATAATAACAAAAAACTCCAAAATTTTGTTAAAACTACCAATTCGGTGGCAGCAACCCAACAATGGGTTGTTCGATTTGTCTGAGAATTTCAGGGCCGATAGATCTTGACCAATTAAACAATTTTACCCCTGTCACATTTGCTCTAAAAGATTTAGTTTTTGAGATATAAGCCAAAAACTGCATTTGACCCTTATGTTCTATTATTAGCCATGGCGGCCATGTTTGTCGATGGATACAAACTTCAGATACAATTTATAAACAAGATACCCTAAGGAACATTTAGTTAAAGTTTGAAGGTAATTGGCCCAGTAGTTTCAGAGGAGAAGATTTTTAAATGTTAGCAAACTTGTTTACTTTTATAAATTTTGACTTGGATGGAGAGTTGTCTCATTGGCACTCATACCACATCTTCTTATATCTATTGATGAACAAATTGTGTAAAATTGTCTTTAAAGGCAATAACTCCTTAAGGGGTCAATTGACAATTATGGTAATATTAACTTTTTTGTAGATCTTACTTTGCTGAACATTATTGCTGTTACAGTTTATATATATCTACAATAATAATATTTAAAATAATAACAAAAAACTCCAAAATTTTGTTAAAACTACCAATTCGGTGGCAGCAACCCAACAATGGGTTGTTCCATTTGTCTGAAAATTTCAGGACCGACAGGTCTTGACCAATTAAACAATTTTACCCCTGTCACATTTGCTCTAAAAGATTTAGTTTTTGAGATATAAGCCAAAAACTGCATTTGACCCTTATGTTCTATTATTAGCCATGGCGGCCATGTTTGTCGATGGATACAAACTTCAGATACAATTTATAAACAAGATACCCTAAGGAACATTTAGTTAAAGTTTGAAGGTAATTGGCCCAGAAGTTTCAGAGGAGAAGATTTTTAAATGTTAGCAAACTTGATGAACAAATTGTGTAAAATTGTCTTTAAAGGGCAATAACTCCTTATTATAAGGGGTCAATTGACAATTATGGTCATATTAACTTTTTTGTAGATCTTACTTTGCTGAACATTATTGCTGCTTACAGTTTATATATATCTATAATAATATTCAAAATAATAACAAAAAACTCCAAAATTTTGTTAAAACTACCAATTCTGTGGCAGCAACGCAACAATGGGTTGTTTGATTCGTCTGAAAATCTATAGCTGATAGATCTTGACCAATTGAACAAGTTCACCCCATGTCAGATTTGCTCTAAAAGCTTTAGTTTTTGAGATATAAGCCAAAAACTGCATTTGACCCCTATGTTCTATTTTTAGCCATGGCGGCCATGTTTGTTGATGGATACAAACTTCAGATACAATTTATAAACAAGATACCGTAAGGAACATTTAGTTAAAGTTTGAAGGTAATTGGCCCAGAAGTTTCAGAGGAGAAGATTTTTAAATGTTAGCAAACTTGATGAACAAATTGTGTAAAATTGTCTTTAAAGGGCAATAACTCCTTATTATAAGGGGTCAATTGACAATTATGGTCATATTAACTTTTTTGTAGATCTTACTTTGCTGAATTTTATTGCTGCTTAAAGTTTATATATATCTATAATAATATTCAAAATAATAACAAAAAACTGCAAAATTTTGTTAAAACTACCAATTCTGTGGCAGCAACGCAACAATGGGTTGTTCGATTCGTCTGAAAATCTAGAGCTGATAGATCTTGACCAATTGAACAATTTCACCCCATGTCAGATTTGCTCTAAAAGCTTTAGTTTTTGAGATATAAGCCAAAAACTGCATTTGACCCCTATGTTCTATTTTTAGCCATGGCGGCCATGTTTGTCGATGGATCAAAACTTCAGATACAATTTATAAGGAACATTTAGTTAAAGTTTGAAGGTATTTGGCCCAGTAGTTTCAGAGGAGAAGATTCTTGAAATAGTTTATGATGACAGACGACGACGGACGCCAAGTGATGGCATAAGCTCACATGGGGCCCTTCGGGCCGTGGTGAGCTAAAAATTTCCTGTGAGAGCGCTAAAGAGGCCATTTTCCATAAATTTAATATTTCCAAGGTACATACTCTTTTAAAAAGAGTTGATCGCCCACCATTATAGAACTTGTCAGAGATATTGCTGATATTAACCTATAGTATGAGCTTTATAAAAATCTGACTAGAATTGTACCCGTGAGAGCGCTAACCAGGCCATTTTCCATAAATTTAATATTTCCAAGGGTCATCTCTCTTTAAAAAAAAGTCGATTGACCACCATTATAGGACTTGTCTGAGATATTGCTGATATTAACCTATAGTATAAGTTTTATAAAAATCTGGCAAGAATTGTACCTTTGAGAGCGCTAACAAGACCAGACGGACACACGAATGGACGGATGAACGGACGCCCGGTATTTCCATGTCCCCCGCAATGTGTTACGCGGGGAAATAAAATCATTCAAACTGTCAAAATCTAAGGTGATTATCTTCAATCTGTGTGCCAGCACTGTTCAAAGTTTGAATACTGTTTGAGTAACACGTGACCCAAACTATGAACCCTCTTTAGCATTCAATGAAAAAAATAATTAAATTCCAACATTAGAAACCTTAGCTCTTTATATTTTTAATACCGGTAAGCTTTGGATTTTCAAATATTTTGGCCCTGAGCATCACTGAAGAGACAATAATAAAAAAGAATCCTAGTGGCTGAGGTCTCATAACTTTTACCTACATATCAATAAAATGATAGAAGTCCACCATCATTCTCAAATCAATTTTTTCAGATATCAAATTCATCAAAAATTTTGATAATAAGAATAAAACTGCATTTACATTTAAAGGAAATGAGAAATTGAGAAATGAAAGTGCTATCTAGGTAACAAGAAGAATTATTTGGTTATATTGAGACAATACCTTGGATAATATCTCCATCAATGGCATCATTATGATTTTAAATAAAAACCAGCATGTCAAATAACAATTAAGAATTATCAGTAATTATACTTACATCTTTACAAAATTCAAAGGCTGGAAGTAATTTTCCCGATACAACTAAACCAACTAATATGTATATAAATCCTATTGAATATGAATATAAAACCTGAAAAGATAAAAGACTTACTGATGGCATCACAAGGCTCAAAGGAACATGAATTAATGACAAACTGAGTAATAAATGAAGAGCTATAGATTAAGATTAAGATTTAAAATATATTTAAGAATAAGTAATCATTATAGAATGACATGCTTCTTTCACTTTGTAAACAACACAGTGATAAAATGCTCAATATATCTATAATTAGCGCAGACTCAGAAATGTACATAATAATGGCTGTTACAATATACCTCCCACGTAAATCCACATGTATTGTAACCTAATGTTGATTTCGATGTGTTAAAAATTGCAATTGAAAAAAAACTACAGAACCTTTATTCTTATTTTAATGCATAACAAAAACAATTAATGCATTAGAGCTCAGAAAAATGTACAAAATCCAAATAAATAAAATTGCGCAAAAGTCCATTAATGCTTTTGACGCATTAAAGTCATTTCAAAACATGACGTCATACGAATGGAAACGCTCAAGCTGAAGGTTTTTCCTTTACGTGAACGCTCCAAATTTGAATAATATTACATTAAAATGGAGTTTTGAGGTAGGTTTTGTTTTATTGTCTATTCTATTGCATTATTCACACATCAAGTGATTTCAGCAAGTCAACATGGCGGCTCTTTAGTTACGAAATGTTAACTCTAGATTTGACAGTAGCTTGCAAAAAAAAATGTAAATTAAAAATGGCAAATGTTAGAGTTGAGGATCAAAAGAAATAAACACATTTTTACTAGTGGTTATTCAAGAAATAATTAATGCAAACTATAGATTTATTGGAAATTTTTAGCTTTATCTAACAGGGGGTAAAACAGAACAGCCACAAACACAGCATACTTACCCTCGCTTCAGTTTTTTAAATTACCGTATTTGTCCTTTTAGAATCGAAATAATTCATGGAAGTCATAGATTTGTTGGAAATTTACACATAAATGGGCCATGATATTCGTTAATTTTATCCCTTGCTTACGCTCAGGATAAAATTGAATATCACATCCAAGGCCATGTGTAAATTTTCAACAAATCCATAGCTTCCATGAATTATTTCTTAAATTAAAAATGAAATCTTAAATAAAGCAAATTACATACCATTTCTGAATTAGATCCTTGATACTGTTTCAATGCTTTCTCTTGTACATTTCCAATAGCACCATCTGCTAGTAAGGCTAATGATATCAATATCACACCTACAAAATATAGAGTGTCTTTTGGGTTTACTTTGTGTTGTCTTATTCAGGTTCATCCCGCTTCTCATCTCCTTTTATTCATAGGTATGTTACAAACAAACAAATATACAGATTTCAAGAATAATAACTTTTGAAATTTATCTTTCAATATGTTAATTTCATTCTTTGATTTTATTTCTTATGGATAAGAAAATCTTGCAACAACTGCCAGTGTGGAACTATCAATGTAAGTCAACACAATTTCCTGTTTGGGACACACTGCTTATATCTGTAAAGAATAATTAACAGTTGTTTCAATGGATGTGGAAAGTTTGATTCTCAACCTGGAAGCAAATTAAGCTGTTTTGGGCAGTCTTGAAGAAAAAAACCATTTGCTACTTGTTTTTCATTACTTTGAAAGATTTTTTTTTTTAAATTTTAAAATTTTCATGGTGTTGATTTCTTTTTCATTGCCTTGTAGAATTTCATAATGCCATCAAAGTCTATCAAATACCAATTCTAACTTAAAGAAACAGTCGTGTATATTATCTTTCTGAACATAAAAAGATTGCATTTAAAAATGGTTTTATTCCTATATGGCGAAAAAAAGTGCAAATTAAATGGTATAAGACATGCCGCTTTATAGTTTTTTCTAAACATCTTATAATTTATTCTTAACAATTTCTATTACATACCATATGTATTAAAACTAGGTGATACACTGCTGTCAGCAAGGGTAAATAAAATTAATCCTATACACATACATAATACTGCAGTTACATCTATACAATTGTACTTTTTACCTTAAAATATACAAAAACTAATTAGTTTATTAGATATCCATGTTCACAGATGTTGACTTAATTTAAAAAAAATGTAATAAGGAAACAACTATAATTTTCCAATACATACAGGGAATCATTGAGGAACATTGAGCATTCAACATCTTTCAACTTTTAAGTCTTTGAAAATGTATATTTTTTTAGCATATTCAAGTTAAAAAGATGAGTCATTATTTTTATGTAATACAGAAAAAGTCAGATTAAGGGATAAATAGATGTTTTTATTTGGTTTTGCGTCATTGGATAGCTGTCTAATTGATGTCCTCCCAAACCTTTTATGTATTCATTGATACTTGGGAGGCATAAATTTTTGGTAAAGTATACTCACTTTATATAAAAGAATCAAAACAAAACAAGAGGCTCTCAAGAGCCTGAATCGCTCACCTGTATTTCAGAGGAGAAGATTTTTAAATGTTAGCAAACTTGATGAACAAATTGTGTAAAATTGTCTTTAAAGGGCAATAACTCCTTAAGGGGTCAATTGACAATTTTGGTCATATTAACTTTTTTGTAGATCTTACTTTGCTGAACATAATTGCTGCTTACAGTTTATATATATCTATGATAATATTCAAAATAATAACAAAAAACTGCAAAATTTTGTTAAAACTACCAATTCGGTGGCAGCAACCCAACAATAGGTTGTTCGATTCGTCTGACAATTTCAAGGCCGATAGATCTTGACCAATTAAACAATTTAACCCCATGTCACGTTTGCTCTAAAAGATTTAGTTTTTGAGATATAAGCCAAAAACTGCATTTGACCCTTATGTTCTATTTTTAGCCATGGCGGCCATGTTTGTGGATGGATAAAAACTTAGGACAAAATTTATAAACAAGATACCCTAAAGAACATTTAGTTAAAGTTTGAAGGTAATTGGCCCAGTAGTTTCAGAGGAGAAGATTTTTAAATGTTAGCAAACTTTATGAACAAATTGTGTAAAATTGTCTTTAACGGGCAATAACTCCTTAAGGGGTCACTTGACAATTATGGTCATATTAACTTTTTTGTAGATCTTACTTTGCTGAACATTATTGCTGCTTACAGTTTATATATATCTATAATAATATTCAAAATAATAACAAATAAAATGCTCCGCAGGGCGCAGCTTGATACGACCGCAGAGGTCGAACCCTGAACAGTTGGGGCAAGTATGGACACAACATCCAAGCTTGATACAGCTCTGAATTTGGATTGTGATTAAATATTTGACACAGCATAGGTTTCTGACACAGAATGAATGTGGTCTAAGAACTTAAAAATTTTAAATTTGACATTCACCTATTATGGTCAAATATCCAAAATCTAAATACATGGTTAGATTCAGCATATCAAAGAACCCCAAGAATTCAATTTTTGATGAAATCAAACAAAGTTTAATTTTGGACCCTTTTGACCTCAATGTGGACAAAGTTGATAACGGGGCCCAAAAATCAAAAATCTAAATACATGGTTAGATTCAGCATATCAAAGAACCCCATATATTCAATTTTTTTTGAAATCAAACAAAGTTTAATTTTGGACCCCAATTTGGACCAACTTGAAAACTGGGCCCATAATCAAAAATCTAAATACATGTTTAGATTCAGCATATCAAAGAACCCTAAAAATTCAATTTTTGTTAAAATCAAACTAAGTTTAATTTTGGACCCTTTGGACATTAATGTAGACCAATTTGAAAACGGAACCAAAAATTAAGAATCTAAATACACGATTAGATTCGGCATATCAAAGAACCCCAATAATTCAATTTTTGATGAAATCAAACAAAGTTAAATTTTGGACCCTTTGGACCTCAATGTGGACCATTTTAAAAATGGGGCCCAAAATCCAAAAACTTAATACACGGTTAGATTCAGCATATTAAAGAACCCCAAGAATTCAAGAATAAAACCCCATTGAAATTGATCAAGAAATAAGCAATTTATACGAAGTATCTTCTTTTGCACAATACTGTGCAATTGAATATTTCTTGCTATTGCGCAATACTGTACAATTGACAATTTCTTGCTATTGCGCAATATTGTGCTATTGGATATTTCTTGCTATTGCGCAATACTGTGCAATTGAAGATTTCTTGCTATTGCGCAATACTGTGCAATTGAAGATTTCTTGCTATTGTGCAATACTGTGCAATTGAAAATTTCTTGCTATTGCACAATACTTATTATATAATAATTTACACATCCTGTTTGGTGTGTATCTCCTACCATATCATTATTATTTGCTTTTAAATATTAATCAGAAATAACCAACTTAAAATGCAAAATTTTAATTGAAAAAAAAATGAAAAAAAGAAAAAAAAAAAGAAAAAAAAAATCCCCCCCCCAAATTTTTTGAACCCCCTTATGATTCATCACCCCCAAACTCAATCACAGCCTTCCCTTTGTGGTATGGTACCTTGCAGTACAATTTCAGAGAGATCCATACACTTGAACACAAGTTATTGTCTGGAAACTAGAAAAATGCTTATTTTTGGCCCCTTTTTGGCCCCCAATTCCTAAACGTTTCAGGCAATTACCCCCAAACTCAATTCCAGCTTTCCCTTTGTGATATGGCACCTTGTAGTACAATTTCAGAAATATCCAAACACTTACACACAAGTTATTGTCATGAAACTAGAAAAATGCTTGTTTTTTGCCCCTTTTTTGGCCCCTAATTCCTAAAATTTTGAGGCAATTACCCCCAAAATCAATTACAGCCTTCCCTTTGTGATATGGAACCTTGTGGTACAATGTCAGAGAGATCCATACATACACACACAAGTTATTGTCTGGAAGTTACAAAAATGCTTATTTTTGGCCCCTAATTCCTTAACTGTTGGTACCATAACCCCCAAAATCAATCCCAACCTTCCTTTCGTGGTATTGAACCTTATGGTAAAATTTTATGGAGATCCATTCACTTAAACTAAAGTTAGAGTGCGAAAACCAATGTGTCTTCGGACGACGCCGGACGACGACGACGACGCCAACGTCATACCAATATACGACCAAAAAATTTTTAATTTTTGCGGTCATATAAAAACTGCAAAATTTTGTTAAAACTACCAATTCGGTGGCAGCAACCCAACAATGGGTTGTTCGATTCGTCTGAAAATTTCTGAGCTGATAGATCTTGACCAACTGAACAATTTTACCCCATGTCAGATTTGCTCTAAAAGCTTTTGTTTTTGAGATATAAGCCAAAAACTGCATTTGACCCCTATGTTCTATTTTTAGCCATGGCGGCCATGTTTGTCAATGGATCAAAACTTCGGATACAATTTATAAACTAGATACCCTAAGGAACATTTAGTTAAAGTTTGAAGGTATTTCGCTCAGTAGTTTCAGAGGAGAAGATTTTTGAAAAAGTTTACGATGACAGACGACGACGACAGACGACGGACGACGACAGACGCCAAGTAATGGCATAAGCTCACAAGGGGCCCTTCGGGCCGCGGAGAGCTAAAAAGCAGCATTTTTTACAGAGTTGATGTTATAGTTACCTAAATAATGACTTCTACTAACATACATTGAAAGTTATTTAATTTATGGATGTGAATTGCAGCCAATATAGTTAAGTTAATATAAAATTCATGATATTAAACTTGGGAGTTTGTTACTGGTAGCAAAAATACAAACTAATTACATGTAGTTAACAATATTTTCAGAGAAATGAATGTAAATTAACACCTACCCTGAATTAAGACTCCTCCAAACATTACTGGTATAAGTTTACAACATTTAAAGATAACTTGTGTTGGATAATTCAAATATCCTACAGAGGTATTAGACAACCCCATTGTTGACACTGTTAAGAATGCTATCACAACATACGATGAAAGTGGAATCCTGAAAAATAAACTGATAAGTATTGATATGGTATCGTTTTAATAAGCTGTTTAATACAACCTTTTATAAGTAAACATCATATTCTTCAATATATTTTTTTTCTGGTGGCTAAAATCCTTTATTTTTATTCCAAGTACCAGTATATATTAATTCCAAATAACAGTATTTATGAATTTATTGTAGTGCACAGGTGTTATTATGGTGTTTACTGCTGAAATTCCTTTTCATAGGACTTCATAGTTCATCAAAATTATATAAAAATATCATTTGTTTGATTTTGACATCAAACATTTAAATAAACTGCTTCGCTGAGCACAGCTGGATACGCCCTGAACAGTTGGGGCAAAAATGGACACAATATTCAAGCTTGATACAGGTCTGAATTTGGATTGTATTAAATATTTGACATATTATAGGTTTCTGAATAAATGAAGTCAAAGAACTTGAAATTGGTTATATGAATTGAATTTATATTCAATTAAAGATTTCTTGCTGTTGTGCAATACACTGTGCTGTTGCGCAATACTTAGTAAATCGATATCTGTTGTCAGACTATAAACAATTAAAGTTCAATTAATCATCAATGTCATATTAGAAATTTATGAAAATGTAAAGGGAGCTTACATCAATAGATATAAACAATTCACCAAAGTTTCATGAGAATTGCTGACAGCATTTTTGAGTTATTGTCCAAAAACTTGGAAATCCCCCTTTTTTTAATGAATAAAACCCCATAACTCGGAAACGTAAAATCTAAAATTTATAAAAAACGAAAGGGAGCTCACATCAATAGATATAAACAATTCACCAAAGTTTCATGCAAATTGGTCAAAGCGTTTTTGAGTTAATGTCCGACATGTTGACGACAGACGGACAACGGTATACCATAATACGTCCCGTAAAGGGGCGTATAAAAACTGGAATTTTTCACAGAAAAAAGAATGTCTTTTGATTTTTCATGGAAAACATATTGGAAAAAACTGTTAAATGTGTAGTAGTAAATTCTACTAATAAGAAAAAAATGAAGATATTGTTTTCAATGGGGTATGTGTATGATTTTAAATAAAAATGGAAAATGTGTCCCCATGGACACAGATGATGCCCCCACTTGCATACAACATTATAAAGGGACATTACTCAAAAACAATAAAAGTGACACTACCCAAATTTGTACTAAATCTGAGTTTTGTGGTAATAAGTATTGTGTATAGGTTTCATAATGTTTGGTTGGGGCAAACTTAAGTTACAGAACAGAAACTAAAAATTTTGCAATTTTTCGATTTATAAAGGGGCATAACTCGATAATGGTTAAAGTGATGCCACCAAAATTCAACTTGATCTGTATTTTGTGGTAATGAGCATTGTGTATAAGTTTCATAACATTTGGTTGAGGCAACTTAAGTTAGAAAACGGAAACTAAAAATTTTGCATTTTTTTTTTATTTATAAAGGGGCATAACTAGAGAATGATTATAGTGACCCCACCAAAATTCAAACTTGATCTGTGTTTTGTCGTGGTTAGCATTGTGTATAAGTTTCATAAAATTTAGTAAAGGCAAACTTAAGTTAGAGAACGGAAACTAAAAATTTTGTAATTGTTTCATTTATAAAGGGGCATAACTCTAGAACGGTTACCGTGACGCTACCAAAATTCAAACTTGATCTGTATTTTGTGGTAATAAGCATTGTGTATAAGTTTCATAACATTTGGTTTAGGCAAACTCAAGTTAGAGAACGGAAACCAATTTTGGGACGTAAGGATGTACGTACGTACGTACAGACGGACAAGGGTAAAACTTAATGCCCCCTCCACTACGGCGGGGGCATACAAAATATTGACAACTGAAACGTCTTTTTATGCCTTGTCTAGGAATAAGTAAATATAGTAAAATAATATGGAAATTGTTTAGTTACAAATGTACTGGATGTACAATTTTCTGAAATGATGTACCATATCCTGAACATTTGTGTCCCACCAACAAAGTTTCAATTATATTAGACAAGTCCAGTGAACATCAGTACAAAAAATCGTAAGTAGAAGTCTTTTGGTTTTGAAAACGACTTTCGTTCATATTAAGAGTCAAAATGTGGGATAATAGAAAGTAAATTACTGTTAACATGGACATTTTAATATGGGGGGGTGGGGGGGGGGGGGTTTATTTCACCATCACATATACTGAAAAAATATGCTGGCATGCATAGATAGCCAACTCAATAATATCAATGTGAAATGGGCTTTTGGTTTGATATGCAAATATGATACCTTCTTTCTTTATCAGCTTTAAACTGTAGTTCTGTTAGACCAAATATGGTGTATAGTCCAAACTGCACCAGTGTAAGGTACCACCCAAACGGTCTGAATCCATCAAGTTTAAATATAAGTTCCTATTAAGTGACAAATATTAAACATCAAGCGATAGCATGTAGAATTCAAGTAATTACAAGTATTGAAGTAAGAAATCTAAAATCACAAATGTATGCTTCAATAATCTAGCATATGCATTTAATATAATATAAGAATAAACACTTGTCCTTTACCACTTTTTAAAAAGGGACACACATCAATAGCAAAACTGTAAACAAATACATATGTTACAGCTTTATAGCAAAATAAAAAAAAAACAGTTTGATGTACTTCAATATCATGGCATGTATATGACAGTGGATATTACTTAATTAGTAAATGTGATTCAGAAAATAACTCTCCTGATCTCTTATAGGCCAATATTGTAATTACTTCAAATTCAATGGACTATATAGAACTGTAAATAGCAATCTCTTCATGATGATGACATACACCATTTGAATTATCATTTCAGTCAGCAATACTTGATTGATTTTGATTGATTGTTGGTAACTTAACATCCAGTGGCAAATACTTCATGAAGCAATACTTGATATTTTTGTTTAATCAAGTGCTACGTTTTGATCTTACTATGTAATCTGCCTAAACTTTAATCATGTAAAATTAAATATAAGGCAAAAGCTAACAATCACCAAATAAGCACAATAATCTTACAACAAGGAATTATTTGAATCTGGAATCATTTTGATATCTAGAAAATTGATAATAAATGTATGATGGAAACTAACCCAATTTAGGAGAGTTGAATAAGGGGGTTAGTTGGTTCATATAGAAATATCATTGAACGTAAAATTAACCTCAGCCATGTGTGCATTGCTAACACTCTTTAGTTTGGTTAGTTTTCATCATACATTTCTTATCAATTTTCCAGAATTCATAATTATTCCAGATTCAAATTATTCCTTGTTTTAAAGGTGTGGTAATGTAGATACATCATCCAAAAAGAATATCATTATAACATTTGTAACTTACTTGCATATAACCATATACCAAATAAAACACAAACACAGCAACTGTAAGCAGGATGAATTGCATAGTTGGCGAAAATCCTGATATATCAATAAATCCAATCTTAATTTCTGCTATTTTCTTATTTGAGTATTCTGGTTCTGGCATAGGAACTATAGCAGATTTTTGAGACATTTCATACAGTGCAGAGTTACTTCCCTTTTGTCTCAGTCCAACAGATAGTGGTGTGACTCTAGGAGTCACTGATCTAAAAAAAAAATAACAATATAGTTGGTTATTTTTCTATGATCAATCTATTTACATATTACTGTACATCAAACCTCAAAGTTTTATACTTTTCTACTTACCTAGGAGGTATTCCACAACTGGAGCAAATTCATTAGATAAAACCTACTGCATTAGATATACAGAGGGACAAAACACAAAGTGATCCTTAGACAAATGTAAGAGTTACTCAGTTTTAACAAATTTGGAGTCTGTATATAATTTTATTAATGCATTTTATTTATGCACATCTACTTTCTAATATATGCTCTAGTAAAATAGGAATTTACCAAACACTTTAACAGCTGAATCACATCTCTAGTTTACAAAATTTAAATTTATTGCTATACATTATTGTTTTTCAGGTATACATCATATTTGTATTAAGCTTATAATAAATGAAATAACATTTTGAACATCACTGATTGTTTATGTACATCCCATCTGCTTCTTATTATGCATAAAAATCAATACAAAAATCAAAGTACTGAAGTACTGAACATCGGATGACCGCAGGTTCTTGTGGATGGTCAAAAGCACATGTCACAGAAATAGATCACATCTCTATACCTGAAACTGAGGTTAATTTACAGAGATATATTTTTTTCTGATACAAGTTCGTGCATGGATGATGAATAAATGACAGGAAATTCAACCGCACCGTAATAACTATTATATTGTAGTGATACAAATCAGTATACCTGGGACTATTATACTAGTATGATAATAAGTGTCAGAGTATACACGTCTGGTTTGTTGTTATATATTATATTAATATTACGGTTGCATGTATATATAATTTTCATCTATTTATATATCATTCTATTCTACTATTCTAATTATAGTGCAGTGCAAGTGCATGGTGGACACTCTTCTGTAAAAAAATCGATTTTTCTAAAAGATTGGATATGAGAAGCCATTCATATTTTCCCGCAAAACAATAACAGAGTTATCGGTCCTTGCCGGGAGTGTCGCAAAACGTTCTTGAGATATTCTTCCGTAAGCTTTAACACAATTTTTCGGTACGTGTGCATTTATATCATCAATGATTTTTTACTTTTATATATATATAACTAACGACAACACATTTTCATATTATTAATTTGTGTTTTAATAAAAATATTTATAGGAGTATCCATTGAAAAAATGAATTTGAAACAAGCGATAAGTAATGTTATTTTGCACTAGATAAGTGACCGCGGATCTATAATTTTTATAGATCGGTTGAAAACCCAAAACTAATTTGCATAATGGATATTTAGGCGATAGCAATACATCGATATGACCTCACGGTCATCGCGATGTAAAAATTCACAAATGTGTACAAAATTTAAAGCTCAAAGTGAGACTGTGAATCTTTCAATAACTGAAATCTAGCCATAATAATTGCACATATGCTGATATAAGATATGATTACTTAATTCAAATTATTAAAGATCTTGAATCTATTAAGCTAGTGAAAGAAATAAATGACCAGAAAAACTTCAATTGATGCATCAACACAAAACTGTTAGCTGATGTGATTCAAATATGCCAAACTCATACAAGCTCTTAAAGACTTTTTTTTCAAGTTCAACTCTCTTAAGTGTGAAACCTACATGTCATAAAAGTCTGTCATTAAAAAAGAGGTCTGTCAATAAAAAGATGTCTCAACAAGAAAACTCAATTCAATACACAAAATCAATCAATAACAGGTCATACATCAGGTGACAAAACTTAAGATTGTGGATCATCTATACAATGTTCCTTTAAGAATCAAGACATCTGGCCTATCAACTAATACATGTAAGAATATTCACCAAACATTTAGATGTCATATGTACAATGGGTTGTGGAGTGGTTTTAATTTTCCATGTTATACTTATATAAATACAAGAGTGCACACACTGAAATGTCTCGCCTACTTTACTGACCATTGATTTTATGTTGATAGTTCTAAATATAAAGTTTTACTACAAGTATCAAATTAACATTTATGATCCAAGAAAATGAGGTCAAGGTCAGATAAACCAAGCCGGAAATACATGTACATCTTTAATACAATCATTCCATACACAGATTATAGATGACCTATTGCTTATATAGATATAGGAAGATGTGGTATGAGTGCCAATGAGACAACTCTCCATCCAAGTAACAATTTATAAAAGTAAACCACTATAGGTCAAGGTACGGCCTTCAACACGGAGCATTGGCTCACACCAAACAGCAAGCTATAAAGGGCCCCAAAAATTACTAGTGTAAAACCATTCAAACGGAAAAACCAACGGTCTAATCTATATAAAAACGAGAAAAGAGAAACATGTATGACCTACATAAACAGACGACAACTATTGTACATCAGATTCCTGACTTAGGACAGGTGCAAACATTTGCAGCGGGATTAAAAGTTTTAATGGTACCAAACCTTCTCCCTTTTTCTGAAACAATAGTATAACATCATAACATAGAAAGACACACTATAAAATATCAATTGGAAGGCTTAACTCAATCAAAAAACGTAAATTAACACACAATGAACGAATAACTTTGATCTGTGATACCTGAATGCAAATACATAGTTAATAAAAATTATAAAGGATAAATAACTAAGGTCAAAAGTAAATAAACAGGTGGGGGCCTCGGTGGCCGAGTGGTCTAAGTAGTTACTACTGTAATCACTAGCCAGTCAACACTGAGGTTGTGAGTTCGAACCCCGCTCGTGCGGGTGCACTCGACTCCAATCTTAATTGACTAGGACTGTCAATTTTCCTATCGAAGGTCTGTGGTTTTCTCCGGGCACTCCGGCTTCCTCCACCAATAAAAACTGGCCGCCACGAAATAGCCCAAAAGCGGTGCTTAAAAGTAGCGTTAAAACACCAAAAATCAAATCAAATCAAATAAACAGGTTGAAACAAAGTTAAAGTATGATACCACTGTGAGATGTTAAACAATATTTAGAAAATCATCACTTTTGAAAAAACCTGCGTCATATTATACACAGGTAAATGAAAATAATTTTGTTGTTATTAGTATACTTCTTCTTCTGTGTGTATAAAATCTTCTGTTTAGGAATACCAAGAAATTTCTTTAATATCAATAAAACTCATCTAACACTTGGTACATATGGGGTGAATATCAACAATAAAACTATACAATTAGTGCTAGATAAAATTTCCTGTACAGGTGCAAGAACATTATTTAAGGAGAAATGAAATAATTTTGATGTTCATAGTACGAAGAAGTGAAAATTTGTAGTAATTCCAAATAATCAAAGCTGGTTTATAGACAAGATCCATGTTAACATTAAATAACAAAAAAGCATTACAACTAGTATCAACAGGTCAAATTAACAAGAAAGTACGATTTGAGAGTACTCGCAGTTACTGACAGCTAGTTAAAAGCCAAAACAATTAATAATAAAAAATCATGAATCAGAGACTGAAATCAACTAAAACACATCCCAGGGATTTAGTATTTTAACGTCATGAACAGTCAAAGAAGACATGACTTGTGCAATGCCAAAAATAAATGTATCGACAGATGGTAGGATAGTTAGGAGTGACTTTATAGATAAAAATGAATGTGTGTGTGTCTCTATACATCCCGTTTGAAAAGAAAATACAAATTTAGTTATGTTTTAATTTGCTAATGACAAAATCGATATTAGTGCCAATGTAAACTATATTCAGAGATCTAATTAAAACATTGGTACGATAACCCTTACTAATAAGTTTGTTTAAAGGTTCGATGAGTTTACACGGATCACATAGTGATTTCCGCGCTTTAAGTACAATATTACCGTAAAATTTAGGATGTGAAATACCATTTTTAATAAGTTTTCTACGGGTACAGCCAAATTTACTAATTAAATCTTTGTATCTATGAAAGAATTTAGTAAAAGTTTTAAGTAATTTATGGTAACGAAATCCCTGACTTAATAATTTACCAGTGATGCATTGATTACGTTTGTTAAAATCTATGACATCACTACACACACGGGCATACCGAACGAGTTGGGATATATAAACACCATATGATGGAGCCAAAGGCACATCGCCGTCTAAAAAAGGAAAATTAACAATAGGGAATGAAAAATCGTCTCTTTGGTAGTAAATTTTAGTATGGAGTTTCCCTTTAGAAATTGAAATGTCCAAATCTAGAATAGGACAACTGCTGCAGTTTATGTTAGATTTAGTTAAAGTAAGTTCTTTTGGGTAAATTTCGGTAGTATATAAAAGAAACAGACCAAACCATGGAAACTCTTTATTGACCAAAACTTAACATTGAGCAATGAACTGTGAAAATGAGGTCAAATAAAACCTGCCAGACTGACATGTACATCGTAAAATATTTCCATACATCAAATATAGTTGACCCATTGCATACAGTATTAGAAAAACAGACCAAAACACAAAAACTAAACTATAAACACTGAACCATGAAAATGAGGTTAAGGTCAGATGACACCTGCCAGTTAGATATGTTCACCTTACAATCATTACATACACCAAATATAGTAGACCTATTGCTTATAGTATCTGAGATATGGATTTGACCATGAAAACTTTACCTTGTTCACTGATCCATGAAATGAGGTTGAGGTCAAGTGAAAACTGTCTGACAGGCATGAGGACCTTGCAAGGTACGCACATACCAAAGATAGTTATCCTATTACTCATAATAAGAGAGAAATTAACATTACAAAAAATGTTAACTTTTTTTTCAAGTAGTCACTGAACCATGAAAATGAAGTCAAGGACAATGGTGCCGCCGCACTGTTCTTATGTCCAGCTTTCTGTGAAAGAAGTCGCAGGCTCGACATTAAAAAGTAGTTTGAATAAGTATGATGATCTGAAAAAAATCTGAAGTCTATAGTCAGATAGTGGAAAGGGGGGGGGGGGGGGGGGGGGGGGGGGGGGGGGGGGGGATGGGATTTTCCATGGTAGGGGTCAAAATAATAGCTAAGGAAAATGGTTAAAAAAACGTTTCTAACATATGTTT